CTTATTATTACATTACCCATATTGTAATCACATGAAAAGAGAGATGCCATTGCGATATTCCAGAAGTTTTCTGACTCGCATGATTACCTTGCGGATTCTGTTATCACCAGTGATCCTACCGGTACCAGACTTATCTTAGTGACCTTCAAGAAAGAGCCTTCTACTGGCCAGTAACGTGTGCGCAGCTCTTCTTTAGAAAAGTTTATTATTCCTAATACTAAAATGTGGTTAGGTAGGTACCTATTGAATACACATAAACAATTAAAATCAACTGTGATAACCTTTTGATAATTATGTAGGTAAGTATATAAAAAACGTGTTATTAAAACCTGTTTTCAGCAAGCTTTCGGATGATTCCGAACAAATTAGTGTTGGTTTAGAATTTATTCAAATAACATTTTCTGTATCCGTGAGTTATAAATGAAACATTTTTTTAAATATTTTAAACACAAACATTACCATGTTTCATCTTATCAGTGTTAAGTTTAATATATGGCTAATTATCGGTGTGTTTGTAACGTTAGTGATAATTACGGACTGTCATGATTCAGTGTATTTCGCGCCATCCGTTTTCCTCAACCATGGCGGCGGTCCTGCTCCTATTTTGGGAATCGAAGATGACTTACAAATCGCAGAATCGCTGCGTAACATTTCGAAAATTGTTGACTTAAAGCGATTGGAAGCTATAATAGTAGTAACAGCACACCGAGAGGAAGACATGGTTACGATATCGTCGGGAAATCATCATGACTTGTTATACGACTACTCTAATTACCCGCCTCAAAGTTACAAATTCACATATGACGCTCCAGGTGATCCAGTTCTAGCGGGAAAGATACACGAAGCGTTCGAGAAAGCAGGGATTCCATCAACATTAGACGAAAAAAGAGGTTGGGACCATGGAGTTTTTATTCCAATGATGCTAATAAATCCTAGTGCGGATATACCTATTATTCAAGTATCAATTTTGAAAAATCAGAACACAAAGCAGCATTTAAACATTGGAAAAGTGTTGTATCAATTTCGTAAAGATGGCGTCGCGATATTTGGTTCGGGAATGTCGTATCATAACATGGTTGAATTTAGGAAATCAGAAAAAGTGAATGACGGGGTTGTGGTCAACGAAATTTTCGATAGTTTCCTAAATGAAGTTCTTACTGGTGACGTAGACGCAAAAAAAGAGATTTTATATTGGGACAAAGTGCCTCAAGGCTTAGACTCTCATCCCCCGGGTGAAGCGGATCACTTAATGCCTTTAATCGTCAATATTGGCGCAGGAGGATCTTCTCCAGGGAGGAATATTTTCTCATCGGTCTACATGCATAAATTTATTCTGAGTGGTTTTATTTGGGATAAAGAGTGAACGATTGAAAAAGGGGATTATCAATTCCACTAAGGGCCGATTTCTTATCTCTTCAGATAAATTGCAACATAAACGACTTATAAACTACACTTGTATGAATAAAATTGTTCATTTTTTGCTTTTATATTCCGTTCACTGACCTCTATATATTCTGTTAGGTTATAATCTATTAGATGGATAATTAACTGTTATCTAACGTTGAACAATCGATTCTTATGTTATTATCTATAATCAAAACGTATGTATGACAATGTTTCCGAGGTTAGTTTAGTTAATTTGATGATTTTAAACGAAAGATTTGAAATATTTTAATACATAATATCTTTTTTTATTTGATTTTACTTTTTTTAATCAGAAAAAGCAAAGTCACATCCTATATAAGTTCCGCTGTGTTGGGATACTATTATTTATTGTGATTTGAAGCAGATTATTCTGTGATTTGTACTCTACACCGCACCCGCGCTGCCCCAACGCGGGTTCGAAAAGTTCAGATGTCACATTTTTGTTAGACGTGATAGCTTCTTCACAATATTACCAGTATTTATTAGTAACAATTAATTTTGTGCCATCAAGAATACCATTAGCAAATTATCTAGTGTCATTGCAATATAAGATACGAGATAAAGATGACAGAGGGAACAAACCAGAAGATGGGCAGCAGCAGCATCTTAATAACTAAAAATAAAAACTGCACTTACTAACCCGAGTGCCTGGCGTGGCAGCTATGGCAAATATGGCTCAGGTAATCAATGAGGGAGGCCTATGGTCAGCAGTTGACTTTGATAAGCTGTAACGGTAAGTATGGTAAGGTTAGAACTCGTTGAAAAGAAAAGAAACCATTTAAAAATAAAAACATTGTATAATTTAAAACATCTCACAAAGACTATCAAAAATTTTCTTATGTTTCCTGTTCCAATATATCAAGGTAAGACGCCAACTGAAAATTAAAAAAAAATATATTTCAACAGACCTACTAAGTATTTATTCCTTTTTAGAAATCGCAGTATCACACGCCTCGTAGGTAATATATTATATGGTTTCGGTGATATTTATGCTGTTAGCCAAAAGGCTAACATCTCTGACGCTGCTCCTCCTCGTCAAGAGATGTCTTGGATGTCAGATGATGGAACACTCCTAAATAATATATAGCTATTATAACGGCTTCAGATTATAGAACGGTATAGAATTGAATAATTTTTATTTAATACTAGCTGGTACGCGGCACTTTGCTGCCGCAGAAGAAATAATTGTAGAAATATCGTTTTAAATTTGGAACAGTTATATTGTTTAATTAGTAATGATAATACATTCATTGAAATTGCATGATATACTCGTAATATAATCTGTACGATACGCGCTCCACTGTCAGTAAATTGTACTATGTCTATAAGTCTATAATCTTTGCGCAAGTACAAGCAATAAGTTGACAAAGTTTTACCGCAATCTGATGAAGGGTATGGAACTCCATAAGATACAAACAAACAAATATTAATTTTTATATATTAGAAACTCACCAGTAATTCTTATTGAGTATTTTTTTTTTACTTATAACACTGTTTCGGAAAAATTCTCTGTCCTGGGAAAAACCAGACAGGAACCCAGCTGGACTTTTTTTTTCAAAGTAAAATTTTACAATAAAATACAGGTTGTATTTAAACTACTACAGCTTGGAAGCGAGAACCTCATTCCCAGGGGCTATTAATCAACAATAAAATAATACAAAATTATAATCTCGTCTATACCAGACAAGATATATATTCGTTTTATACGTGGTAGAGCCACACAGCAGCTATATTGTGGTTGTAGCACGAATGAGTCGGCTCGACCGGGGTAGGGCCACGCTCTCACAGAATACTAGCTTAAAATAGGAGCTTAATGCTGCTGTGTTTCATATAGTGAATACAGAGAACTAGAGACTCTTTTTTACTGGAAACGAGGCACTCCATATTAGCCCTAAGAAGTGACAACGCTTCTGTATTTGGATTCATAATTGAGGATAAATGTATATCAATGGACCAGAGCATCCACTTACCATCAGGTGGACTGTGTATTCGTTTGTCACAGTTATTCTAAAAAAAACCTAAAACGCCTAGACCAGAAACAGCATCTAAGGGTACAAAAACCTAAATGATTGGCGAATCACAGGAATAGATGTTCTTCTTTTGTGGCGTACTCGTATACATACGTAAGCTGTAATGATCATATCTCTTTCGTATTAATAAATATGTTTATGATCACAATAATCATCACCATTTTAATCATCATCATCATAATCATCAGCCCGAAGGAAGTTTATTAGCAGTGTCGGTTGCATTGCGCTTAATTTTGTGGTTTTGTTATATTTGGAAGTTATAAAGACTAGAAATGAGTTGGAGGGTGACTCGAACTTTAGGCATAGTCAGTTTGAATAGCCTATCATGTAAAGGATGTTATGGGGGTCAAGGTTGTATAGGGGAAATAAGTTCTCATTACACTCCTAAGAGAACAAAATGGACAAAAAACAAAAAATCTAAAATTCTTATTTCGGCTATAACTCCCCCTCCTTCGGAGATTATTACACAGTCTTTACAGTAAATGATACAATATGTGTTTGTGAAATCCGACGCGTTCCTTAATATTACAAGTCAAGCCTTAAAAAGACACGATTGTAAATAATCAACAAGATTTCTAGGTGCGTTTTTTTTCCAGAAAAATACTAGACGAAGCAAATCAGTTAAAAACGATGCCATCTTTCTAGGTCGAGAGATCGATTACGATTTACGATCTAAAGAAGTAACAGTTACAGACGGGTTTTATACTTATTTGAGGTGTCTTTTACACGTGAAATTATTAAAAAAAAAACGTATAAAAACCTTTTATTATACGTCCATGCTTTTACTAATTCAGTCAATAACTAAATTAATTATTTTAATTAAGTTCCACATTTTGATTCTTAATCGAGGATAAATGTAGGTATCTACGGGCCACAGCATCCACAGCATTCAGTGTGCTCGTTTGTCACTGTTATTCTATATAAAAACTAAAATGCCCAAACCGGAAACAGCATCTATGGTACAAAACCCTGACAAGAACAGACTGTCTTGTGATTTGCCAAACATTTAGGGTAATTATTTATACAACTGATCAAAAAGTAGATTCTATTTTGCGTGGTAGCCACACTACAGTGTTCTACAGTGTTCTATAGTGTACTACAGTGTTCTACAGTGTTCTATAGTGTTCTAGCACGAATGGGTCAGCTTAGCTTGGGAAGGACCACGCACTCACATTCTACCAGCGTAAATAGCAGCTTAATATTAATACTACTGTGTATTGTATAGTGAGCGATGACAATCGGAGAACCTTTTTACTGGTAACAAGGCATTCCATCTCTGTACTCAACGCTTTTGCATTTTGATTCCAATTCGAGATTTCCGTTCAGGTGGACTGGACGTTCAGGTGGTTCTTAACCGGTACTTCTTTAATAAAAAAAGAAATTCAATGTTAGATTCTTGGAAAAGTATATTACATCTCAGATGTGAAGACGCCTTTCAGTCTTTTTTTTTGGTATGACGGCATGTTCTGGCCTTTTAAAATCATAAATAAAAAAAGTTCATGGCACATACTTCCTACTTTAAGCGTTAAAACTTTACCTTTAAATTTATGAAAGAGAGCGCTGTCGCAGGGGCATGCCGCATTCGCAGAGTGAGCAGCGCTTGAATGTCACAGAGCGGGACCGGCAGCGTCGGACGACTCTACGATATCAGAGTTAAATATGTATCATATAACATTAGTGGTGGTGGTGGTAAACCGTGTACTGGCGGTGTCGATGATCCCATATCGTCCCGTGGGTGTCGTAAGAGGCGACAGAGGGAAACAAACCAGGAGATGGGTAGCAGCGTTCTTCTAATTACAACTAAAAAAATTAAAAACCGCGGTTATCAACTCGCCTGCCAATGACAAGTAAGCTATGGCAAGTATCTCCCCTATGAGGAAATCTATGGGGAGGCCGCCTCTATTCACTCGTAGCAGTGGAATTTGACAGCATTTTACATAATGTTTTTCGAATACTTGCAAAAAACGCCCAGTTCTTCGCTAACAAATCTTTTTTAGCAAAGAAATTTATCAAACGATTGCAAATGTACATTAAAAGTGACGAATTTATCCAGGATATCAAATTACGTCTATTCATTACTGAAATTAGTGTAGGTTTGCATTACCTTTATTATTTGTCTTATTGTTTGTTTGAATTATCTGGACATATGAAAGAATTTATAAAGTACGCAGTCATAAAAACGAGGAAGTTTATTTTAATTTATATATAATACGAGAAGATCGTTGAGCTGGAAGAAGAGATAGACAAGTTACGCTGGCATATTATAGGATTATCCGAGGTCCGAAGAGAGGGGGAGGACACGGTAATCCTCGAATCCGGCTACTTGCTCTATCACCGGGAGGGCGACCATTATTACGCAAAATCTCACAGAATACCAGCGTAAAATAGCAGCTTAAGGCTGCTGTATTTCGTATGGTGAGTGTCGAGAACCGGAGACCCTTTTTTTACTGGAAAAGGGGCATTCCATCTTAGGTCTCAAGGGATCTGCATTTTGATTATTTATTGAGATTAGATGTAGCCGTGTAGTGGCGGTTAAGAATATCCACTACCCCATATCTTCCCGTGGGTGTCGTAAAAGGCGACCAAGGGAAACAGGCAGGAGATGGGCAGCAGCATCTTCTTGATAACAGCAAAAATACAATAAAAAAACTGCAGTTGCCAAGCCGCTCGACAAGCGTGGCAACTATGGCAAATACCCCCCATATGGATAAAGTTACTAAAAGACAGCCCCCAGTCCCCGGCGGCCCCGCTATTCCTGGCTACGGTGGCGACCATGGTAACGTCGGGGCAGGGGGTGTTAATAATCTCCGGTGGAGGTTCGGTTGCCAACTACGACGACTCGACCTGGCAACATACAACGCACGCACCCTGAGGACTGACGAGAAGATTGTGGAGCTGGAAGAAGAGATAGACAAGTTACGCTGGCATATTATAGGATTATCCGAAGTCCGAAGAGAGAGGCAGGAAACGGTAACTCTCGAATCCGGTAACTTGCTCTATTACCGGGAGGGCGACCATCTGTCCCAAGGAGGTGTCGGATTTATCGTCTACAAGTCTCTCGTTAACAACGTTGTAAAGATTGAGAGTGTGTCGGCGAGGGTTGAGTACCTTATACTCAGAATCACCAAACGGTATTCGCTGAAGGTCATACAGGTTTACGCACCAACCTCGGCACACCCCGATCAGGAGGTGGAGGAAATGTATGAGGATATCTTTAGAGCCATGCATTCCTCCAAAACCCAATATACGGTGTTAATGGGAGACTTCAATGCAAAATTAGGCACAAGAGAGAAAGGTGAGCTGAAAGTGGGGAAATTTGGAATAGGGCAACGGAACCCAAGGTGCCAGCAGCTGGCCGACTTCATGGAGAAAGAGGGATTCTTTATGATGAACTCTTTCTTCCAGAAGCGGCCCCACAGGAAATGGACCTGGTCGAGCCCCGACGGTTCGACAAAAAATGATATTGACTTCATTATGACGACCAGACGACAAATGTTCATTGATGTTTCCGTAATCGCGAGGGTGAAAACCGGCAGCGATCACCGAATGGTTAGAGGCACACTGAACCTAAACGTTAAGTTGGAGAGATCTCGTCTAATGAAGTCAACGATCCGTCTCCCTCGTGCTGTATTCCGTAGTCCCGAAACCTTTCAGCACGAGTTACAAAACCGTTTTCAGTGCCTAGAAGACTGCAATGAATTGGACGATATAAATGACAAGCTCGTGGAAACTGCCCATGCGGTCGGGGCTAAGTTTTGCAAAACCCGCCGCAGAAGAACACAAAAACTCTCCGATCACACTCTTAATCTCATGGCTGTTAGACGGGAGATGAAGCTACATTTTTCAACAGATTTGACAGCATACAGGCAACTGAACAGACAGATCTCTAAATACATGCGGCGGGACTTACGTAACTTCAATACAGCTTGTATTGAAGAAGCGAACGAGCGGAACCAAGGCTCTAAAGTCTTTGCCGAGAGATCTGTCTGCCAGAAAGAGCCAACTGTCAAAGCTGAAGACCGAGTGTGGCAGCGTCGTTTCCGGGACACCTGAGATTTTGAGTGAGATTGAGAGGTTCTATGGACAGCTGTACACGTCATCGTTGGAGCCACACGCAAGTGTGAGTAACGATCCAAGAGCGAGTCTTATCCGACACTATCCGAAGATAACCCGGACGTCAATATGAGCGAGATTAGAATGGCTCTCCAGCACCTTAAAAACGGCAAGGCCCCAGGCGAGGATGGAATTACAGCGGAGCTCCTGAAAGCGGGTGGAAAACCGGTAGTTGAAGTCCTTCAGAAGCTCGTTAATTCCGTCCTCCATGGTGGCATTACACCGGAGGCGTGGAGCAGAAGTGCGGTGGTCTTGTTCTTCAAGAAAGGTGACAACGCTCTCTTGAAGAACTACAGACCGATTTCCCTTCTGAGCCGCGTCTACGTGCTGTTTTCGAGAGTCATTACGAATCATCTCGCGCGCAGACTTGACGACTTCCAGCCTCCCGAACAAGCCAGTTTCCGAAAGGGTTTTAGCACCATATACCACATACATACCCTTCGGCAAGTTGTACACAAGTCCGAGGAGTACAATTTGCCACTATGCCTGGCGTATGCAGACTATGAGAAAGTCTTTGATTCCGACGAAATTTGGGTGGTGCTGCAGTCCCTTCAAGCGGTGCCAAGTTGATTGTCGGTATATCGAAGTGCTGAAGTGCTTGTAAAGTACAGCTACGATGGCTATCCGAGTACAGAATCAGAGTACGAAACCTATCCACCTGCAGAGAGGTGTAAGACAGGGTGAGTATCAGAGTACGAAACCTATCCAACTGCAGAGAGGTGTAAGACAGGGTGAGTTATATCCCCGAAACTCTTCACCACTGCATTGGAAGACGTTTTCAAGCTACTGGACTGGAAATGATGCGGTATTAACATCAATGGCGAGTACATCACTCACCTTCGATTTGCCGACGATATAGTCCTTATGGCAGAACCACTGGAGGACCTAAGCACTATGTTCAATGACCTCAATAGTGTCTCCCAACGGATAGGTCTTAAGATGAACATGGACAAAACAAAAATCATGTTTAACATCTATGTTACACCTATGCCGGTAGTTGTTGGGAACACTAAGCTCGAAGTTGTTGACGAGTATGTTTACCTGGGACAAATAGTCCGACTAGGTAAGTCCAATTCCGACCGAGAGGTCAATCGACGGATTCAACTCGGCTGGGCAGCGTTCGGGAAATTACGACACATCTTCTCGTCAGACATTCCGCAAAACTTATACTGAATGTATAGTGCGTTACGTTGTCTTATTACTAATAATGATTAAACTGCGTAAGCAAGAGAATAAGTTGAACATCCGCTCTCACACTTTTATTATTTTTAACAATTAACGCTATCCTGATATATTTTCGAGACAAAAATTGCGATCCTCTGTTGTAATTCTCCGACATCAGAAGTGGGATCTCCTGTTGTCATTTCCGATATCAGAAGTGGGATAAAGTCCCTGTTACTTCCCACCTATAATCTTTGAGTAGTGTGAGGGTTATTACGTTAGTGAAATAGGTACTATGATGCGCCTCGCGTTTTGTTTTTGTGTTCAATTTCTTAAATCAAGTTTGTTGTCGTATTTACGACACTGACGAATTATTAAAGTGTAGAGTAAAAGTTTAAAGTGAAATATTTTGAAGGCACAAGTTAAATCTTTTCGTTCGTTTTATAATAAAATTTACCCGCAAGTACTTTCACTATTTCTAAACGTACCCAAATATAATAAATGTCGAAAGAAATGTTGGAGGTACCTCTAAATGAGTTATAGTTTGCATTCAGTGGAAATTTAACTTGCTCGAGTTATGTTATAATTTGTTACACGAGGTGTGATTTACATGGGATAATTTTAAAGTTCAAAATGTTTAAACGATGTACCGAAAAAAATGTTTGACTTTAACGTGCTATGAATTAAAAACACTAAGTAGTATTTCTGTGTTCTAATGTGTTGATAAGTGTTATAGTTTACTTCGAATATCATGTAGTCGGTAAAATTGAGATTTAATGTTGAAGGTTTAGTGGAAGGCGTGGTGCTGTGGCGCTCGCTCTTGAGTGGAAGTAAGCTGTCGGCTTATGAAGCCACGGACACATTAACTGTCGCTGCTTTCGATCACCATTTGATACATGGGTTGGTTGCGAAAAGTGTCGGAAAACCAAAGCATAACTGACGAAGTTATAGTAGAGCAAATTAGTTCTAACATTGAAGAGAGTATTTAAGTTTACATGAGGATCGGACCGTACCAGAGGTTGTCGTGTAGCTGCAGCTCAGTATATGGTGCCCTTGAAAGATGAATAATGACCCAAGAGTAGTGCTGCATTAAAAAAAACTTTCTTCCAAAAGTTACTACTGAATCTTTTTAATGTTTCTTTTATGTGTTACAGTGGCACGTGTAATGTGATTATACGCGCGCGACCGCGAGCGTGTGCCTTACTAGTCGGAACGGACAGCCAGGTCCAGCTGTAAGCGTGGCCTGGTATCGGCAGTATGCGCGTATACGCAGGAGCCATCCCGGAGCGCGCGTATGCTATATGAGGAAGCTCAAGGTCGCTCAGCGAGCTACGGAGAGGGCTATGCTCGGAGTTTCTCTGCGTGATAATCTTAGAAATGAGGATATCCGCAGTAGAACCAGAGTAACCGACATAGCCCAAGGGATTAGTAAGCTGAAGTGGCGGTGGGCCAAGTGTAGGGCGACCCCCCCCCCACTAGATGGAGTGACGACCTGGTAAGACATGCAGGAAGTCGATGAATGCAGGTGGCTTAGGACCGTGCTTTGTGGCATTCCTTGGCGGAGGCCTATGTTCAGCAGTGGACTTATGAAAGGCTGTAATGATGATAATGATAATGATGATGTATTGAACTGTACTTGGGGTAAAAAGTCGGAAGAACAAATAAAAGTAAATTCCAATGATCCACAGATACAGTCGACTCTCGTTAATTGAAACCTGCGATAATTCGAACCTCTTTATATTTCGAAATAAATCAATATTTATCATTTTTATGCACTTAGTAATTCGAACGAAAATATCATTGATACCTACGTAATAAAACGACGCCTTAATTCGAACTCATCGGCGTCAAACACTCGACAATTCAAAGTTGCCGAGAGAAAGGCACTTTTCACACAGAAGTTATTGATTGACACTCTGAGCAGCAACAATGTGCTTTGAAGCAAACCATAGCATAACATAGTTCTTTCGAAAAATTTATTAATTCACATTATGAATATGTACACGAATGTACCTGTAAACTATTGTTGTTGTTAAAGAATAGCAGTTAATAAACACTTAATAATTCGAAGTTTTATTTATTTTCTCTCAAAAATTTCGAACCATTTGATATTTCAAACACTCGATATTCGAATCTCTCTTTTTGGTTCCAACTCGACTCTAGATGACGGGGGGAACACACCGCCGACCATCCCGCGGTGTGAGTGCTCCATGCAGGAAGTGCTGTTTACACAGCGCTTGGTGCGTAAAGCACTCCTCTCCCTGGACGCCAACAAGTCGAGTGGGCCTGATGGAGTCCCACCTATTGTGCTGAAGACGTGTGCTCCGGAGTTGGCACCGGTTTTAACGCGTCTTTTCCGATACTCCTACCCCATTGGCGTTGTCTCGAACTCATGGAAGACGGCTTTGGTGCACCCGATCCCTAAAAAAGGCGACTGCTCAGATCCGTCCAACTACAGGCCTATTGCTATCACCTCCTTGTTCTCCAAAGTAATGGAAACCATTATTAACAGCCAGCTCATGCGGTACCTCGATATCGAATTCGTAATATTTTAAGTCCCTCGAGTTTCGAATTAACGCGAGTCGGCTGTATATGAACACGGGTTTCCGAATATCTCTACCCCAGTGTGCATTCTTGAGGGTGGACGAACGGTATAACCCTTTAAAATGACTTTCAATAAGAATTACATTTAATTAATATTGAATAAAAAAGATTCTATTGCATCGCTCAAAATCAATAAACTTAGTATAATATAAGGTACCGGCGCTTTCGTCGCCGGCACGGACAACGGCTACGTCGACGTTGGCGTTGTGGCATTTTGTACCGACGGTCACAATAACGGCAACGCTTAAACCGGCCAGTTTTGCTGCGGCACACCCTGTCAAAATTAAAAATAAAATTCAATTGTGTCCTACATCAAGTTTTAGATATATATGTAGTTATAGAAGTTTCTTTTAGGAAGTTCTTTTTTTTGGAACTTGACCAACGGCGAATTGCTGCTCTTGTATTTTCAATAGAATCAGGCGTTACTTTGCGGACATCCATTATATTAAAGTTGGTAAAAATTACCTCGCGTACATCCGCTCGATAAAATAAAATGATGTGTCTTACCTAGTTTGAAGAGCACGTCCCACCCTCTCTCAATTGCGTGCACTATCCCCGTCACCACTTACCCCAGTGAAGTTTTTACTTTCGGTTTATACAAAGGTACTCTGTGGTTTTCACTTAGCGGTCAGCCATCGCAGAGTTTACATCTTCTCAATTCGACTGTATTTTTTATGTGTGTCACCTCAGAACTTTTTCCTAAGTGAAACGATTTTGATGATTCTTTTTAATTTGAAATTTGCTTTTCATGTGCTCCCATATAAAATGTCTGCGAATATGAACTATTAGTGGAAACGGTGAAACAAGTGCTCCGATGGTGATGTGAAGATAAGATAATGTGGTCTGCCTAGGCGCCTTGAGACATCGCCATCAACTTTCTGTTGGCTCAAGCTGCCGCCAATATCTCCCAAAAACTTCGCAATGTGACGCACAACATGGGATTTATGAGAAAAACAAACTTTCCCATTTGCAAACGCAGCTGCACAGCATAATATGGTCGAATAATTATTTACCAAGTCAACCGATTTGTAAGATTATATTATTTTTAATTAAAAAACTTGCTACGTGCTGTACAACTGTGCTGTAAAGCACCCGAAACGTCTGGTATTAAAAAGTTAAATTAAACGCGATAAAATCCATTCGTTAGATTAGTTTCAACTTGATGGCAAGTAGTTGCTGTGGCCCATAGACATCTACATCTATTCTCGTTTGCGAATTAAAATGCAGCTATGCGTTGTCAGTCGTGAAAACAAAGATAGAATGCCTTATTTCCAGTAAAAAGGGTCTCCTGTTCTCTACACGCACTATACGAATCACAGCAGCATTAAGATGTTATTTTACGCTGGTATTCTGTGAGAGCGTGGTGCTTACCCGGTTGAGCCGACCCATCCGTGCATGCTGCAGCTATTTTAGCTATTTTATTAGTATAGTTGTACTATACTATTAATATAGCTGCAGCATGGCTCTATCACGAACAAGCATTGATCTACCGCGTATATCTATACATATAATAAAAATGTAAAAAGCAGACGTCTGTACATTTTATATTTTTGTAATAAAAGTGATTCAGAGGTACTAAAAATAAGTAACTAAATACATTTCTACCATTTTTAGAATTTTCTGTCTGTCTGTCTGTCTGTCTGTCTGTCTGTTTGTTTGTTAACGTATCACGTATAAAGTACTAATTTATATCATAAGAATCGTTAGGGAAAATATAAAGTGTATCTTCGTGTTACATTTAGTCTTTATTTTATTAAAATCAGTTCATTCCATCATAAGTTATGATAAATATTCTGAAGTATGAATACGAAGTATAGGTACGAATTTGTTCAACGGTGGCGTTGGTTGAGTCATCAAGTGCATTTTAAACTAATACTATATCATAAATCATAATTAAATTAGGTAAAATAATGTTCTATAATGATATAATTATATCTAAAACGCAGTAAACAAAAGTATTAAAGAACGTATTAAATAAAATAATATACAAAAATATATTATAACCTTATTATCTAAATCTAAAATGAAATAGTTTGAAACCAATTTCATCGATAGATCAATCCTAATTAAAAAATAAGTCCTAATGTAATATAAAAGGCGTTTTGCTTACTTTGCAGACACTGGTTTATAATTTCTTTTATGTTTTATATATATAATAAAGTACCAATCGCGTCAATTAATCTCTTTTATTTTTAGAATTGATTGCTGTTAGCAGCGCCATCTCTCTTTAAATATATACTTATAATAAAAATGGTGATAACATGTTGTGTCTGTTTTTGTAAATTGTATAGAATATTTGTCACTAAAATCATTATAGGGAAATGAAAATAATTAAGTAAACACATTTTTATAATTTTTAGAATTGTCTGTCTGTCTGTCTGTTTGTTTATAAACGCATCACATCTAAAGTAAACATTTTTTTTAAAAGAAATCGTTAAGAAAATCATAAAGCGTATCTTCAAGTTACATTTAATTTTTGTTTTATTAAATTTGGTTAATTCTATCGAAAGTTATGGTTATTAGTTTAAAATGTAGGTTCTAATTTGTTCAATGGCGCCATAAAACCTCGGAAAAAGTAATAAAAACATTTGTGTGTAAAAAACGTTCTATAATAATATATTTATACTTAAAACAAAGTAAACAATAAAAAAGATGTTTTCCTTAAATTAAAAAAGTTTTCTCACAACGAACGTAATAGATGGCATTGTACAAATTACATTCTTTTCTGAATTGCGGCGTTAAGATACTCCGAATCGTATTGAGACTCACTGACGTGCAGTCACAGTCTCACAAATAACCATACATTACCCAGAACCAATTTAGATATTATATATTTTCAATTTCAATTTCAACTTAATAAATTAAATTAAATGATATATATTATGAGTTTATTATGAGTTATAAATATATATGTATATATAAGAAAATAGTTAATTTATTTTGTATCAGATTATAATGAACATACTAATATCCGAAATCACAACTTCCCACAAGTCAATAGCGAACTCATATCCCAACTTTAAAGGATGCTGCATGAAATAAATCCATACGTTCATAGTTTTAGGGTTGCATTGCAATCGATCCGTCAAGATTTAATAAACAATTATAAAATAGTTATTAACGCTGACAGACGTCCTGTTACTAAAAAAAAAGTTACTGAACACCGCGGTAGCAACGTTCCTGTCACTGATGAAGTGGCAGTGGTATTAGTTGACCAGGAGTGCGATAGACGTGACATCGTGTTGCACACACATGACGATCGACTGCCAGGGATTTATGAAACGCATCGATATTATGAAGCTCTACAATATCCATTAATATATTGTCACGGTGAAAATGGGTACAATTTCGGAATTTATCAAGTTAATCCTAATACCAGAGAGGCAAATTTAAAAAAAAAATATTTGCTCTGCAATTTTATTCGCACCTGTTACATGTAAGGCATATATCTTCTTGCGTATCTGCAAAGATTTCGGGGGTTGTTTTACCAATTTATAGTGGACATGTATGCGAAAATAGATACAGAGCGCTTAGTGTATATACGCACTAACCAGAGACGTCTGTTACATTGACGTCTAATAAGTGATATTGATACAGTAATGATATAAATCGTTTAATATTTTCTTACCTGAATGTCAAATTCTCCAAGTAAAACCTATATACGCGAGCTACGCCGCGGGCACAGCTAGTATAATAATATGTAGTGTTCGCGTAGATATAGAAATCATTATAAAAAACTTTAGAAAACATTCCTCACAAACTATAATTTCTCATATTATATTTTATATACGGTACCGCTACGCCATGTAAGCAAGCGGATGCTGTTGTTCATACACTTACATCTGTCCACTATTAAGAATCAAAATGCAAATGCTTTTTAGATTCTACGGGTTAAGATGGAGTGCTTCCTAACCTATAAAAAGTGTCTCCGATACTCGACACTCAGTCATTCCCTATATAATTCCCGACTTCAATATAAATTTTTGAGAATAACTCAAAAACTATTGGTCAGACCTTGATTAAATTTATATAGGACCACACGAGAAGCACCACCTTTCAAATAAAAAAATCATCGAAATCGGTTTACCAAAAAAAGTTATAAAGTAACACATAAAGAAAGAAAAAAAAACATACAGTCGAATGGAGTACCGGCTCCTTTTTGAAGTCAGTAGAAAATCCATAATGTTCGTTTGTTACGCTTACATGTACAAAAAAAGCAACCGTTCTTACGAGAACCTCGCCAATTTCTTTTTTAAAGGAATTTTTTTGTAATTTTTTCTATTCTCATCAGCCCCATGTTCGAACCATATAAACATGGAACTTATTACAACAAACAAAAAATGTGCCAACTGTGTTACTTGCATAGCATGTCGTTAAAACGGCTTATGGGATATAGGTACATCTATAATTTCTTACACAATTGTCAAATAAACGAAGGTCACAGATGCGTTGTGACCATCAAGAACTAAGGTGAAATACCCCTGTAATTACTTCTCATCTTTCCCCATCCGTGGAGAATAACTGAACCGAACACAGCAGTGGGTGCATTAATGCTTTGTCGCAGGAATTGGTATAAGATGGTTCCAACAGTTCAGACGTACTCCTAAGAACTCAAATTTTACTTACGTTCTGCCTCTTTTCCTGGAATGAAGAAAAGTTGAGTATTAAATAATTAGATTAAAAAAAACTTGCAAGCATTGATCATGAACTGTGATGAATCTAGTGAGAAATAGAGAAAGAAATCTAGTGAGGTCATAAAATCATGAGGCTATTTTCTTAAAACATCTGGAAAACTTAAGATAATTTAGGCGTTCCAAAGTGGGTGAAATATAATTTAAAAAAATCCCAATATATTTATTTCAGGCACTTTTCACTCGTTTCGAATACAAAATGAAAATTTAACAAAACGTTAAAAATTATAAAGCTTAGCTTTCCATTGACTCCCGTGAGTTGGGGGTTGATATTATACATAAAATGGATTTATATTTACATTATAAATGCAAACATGAAAAAAAATATAGATATTTTAGAAATCGATTTTTTGGGAATCGATACATCAGCTTACAATTCGAATCTATTTAAAAAACCGATCTTTTTCGGAAAGAATCGACATCCATATGACAATAACAATAAAAAATGGCGTCAGTTTTATTGTAGGATTAGACATAAACAATGCAAAAATAATTGATTTTATATATAACTTTTTTCTCAAAAATTACGCGCTTCCGCATGTTGTAACTTTGTGTGTGTGCTTGTAATAGTGTAACTTTTCTGTAAAAATACGTATCAACCCCCAACTC